CATGAAGTCACCACTTCAGTAGAATAGCTTCCATCGGCGGAAGTTCAGAACTCCAGAGTGCAGTTACATCCAGTCGGTCGGTACCTTGCGGCCTTATCCGCTGGCTCCTGCTGTTTCCTTTTGAGTGAGGATATATTCTAATTTTCGCATGTCAGTTCCCTCTGTCAGTATCGTTCTCATGGAATCTTACCTGACGTACAATAGTCGTACTGAGTTGTCTGCCCCTCACTTCAGAATGGGTATCTCCGTTTTCTTGCCGATCGCCGGCAGCCCTCGTTATGCCGCTACGCCCTCACCTCCATTTGCTAGCAGGTATTTAAGTCTGCCTCCATTTTCCAACAGCCTGCTCAATCTGAGTTACCCAGGCGACGACTGAGTCAACAAAATGTTTGAAGACGGCAACAGCATGAGGGGCAGGTAATTACATTTTACGGGAACCTCACCACGGTCCCGAACCCAGTGATTCTTTCATATCCGGGCTTGGGACCGGCAACGAAGTTAGCCTATAATTATAAGGAAGTAAATGCTCTGACATCCACACCTTTTCCTCGAACTCCGTACCAATTACCAATTATTTGCACGATAGCAGTTTAAGATAGATGTATAATGAACGAGATGAGGAATTAATGTCAAACCTCGTATCAGCGTCAATCGATTGAATGGCCTCAGTGAAATACAGTCGAGTAGTAGCCATCTTCCGCCAACAGAGTTGTCATTAATCGAAAATAGAGCCTATGCATGAAACTTAATATTGCGAAAATCGTGAATGATCTGATTTCGTCAGTCGGGTGGTTGGTTTGCAACGAGTTCAATCGATGCACGAAGAACTAACGACAATGACGGCTCGGAAGTAAGACCAAAAAAGCCGTGCATTGAGGCGTAGAGTGCAACGGTTAACGAGTCGCTGCCGCACTGTTCCTCCTTTATTGATTCAACGGTGGCAATGACTCGACCACATCAAAGAAAAACGGTTTCGTTTGAACTTCGAAAAACTCCGTGTACCGTTTATAGAGCGGTGGCTCAGTGGACGGTAGTTTGATGTGCACCGGTTCAAGGTTACGGTTCAAAGCTTAGGGTGAAATAAAATTTTACTCTTAATTGATAATTTCTTTAGGTAAAAATTCGCCCAGTTGCATTTCATTTCGACCAGCTGACAAACGGATAGAAACTTGATCTCCTAATCATAGGAACAGTGGAGCAACAGATTAGTAGTTTGCTTTGAATGTTACAGTACTGGATCTGAAACCGAATGGTCAGAGGAAATTTTTTCCTGTTAACATTATATGGAGATACTACCAATGTGACCACTTGCTTTGCTGGTCAACTACAGTGTCTCCGGGATGTGGAGAGGGGAAGACCTCCATCTATGAGGAGGTTAGCTGCGACATGCAGCGGTGAGGCCACTAGGACGTGGCTGGGTTCATAAAGCTCTTAAACAAAGAATTCACCCCACTATACTTGGGTACAGCTAGCTGAGGAACGAGTAAAACTTGTCTATAACGGAAACCGCACGCTCTGCTATGGCCGCGTCGACTTACGGCTGCAATTCGTTTACATCAACAAAGATCAGCGTAATGCATAATTTGCACATAAATAACAAATCGCGTTATTAATGGACCGTTCCAAGGTTTACGCCAGTCTGAAACGACCAATGACATGTCGAACTGTGCTGTGACATGCTTATATGTAATTCTTAATGAAATGTCAGTTAAAGCGAGGGAAATCTACATTTCACTTTTGCTTACGTACCCTCGATGTCGTTATAGCAGGCCCGTTTGCCGCAGTGTTTGTTAAAGAGCTAGAGAATGTCTGGGTCGAGCAAGTTTCATTTTAGCTCTTAGAGGACGGAAACATCTACGACACTGGTTGGGCGGATTATTAACTTCATTTTTTCCCACGGTGTCCGTATTTCATGTAGCGAGCATACACGTTTTAGAAACTTTTCGGTAGCTAACCCCTCCAAGCAACGCATGCGCGGTTACTGAATATCCGTGATGATATATAACGTCCATGCTTGAGGCGGACATGAGATCTTCCTTGTTGAATTTCAGCCTGCACAAATTCTTCATTAAGCTTGAACATTAATTCACAAGTTGACCCCCACCCTCCCCCGTCTGGATGTACTTTCGATGTGCAGCATGCATTGACTACGTGATTTTCGGATTAGCGTAAGATTTCGTAAAGCTCATGAGTAAATCATGCAACCCACCTAAATCTGTCTTGATTGTAAGCCTGTTTATGTCGCAAAACATCAGCGATAACCACGGATCCAGACAGACCACTTCCAAAGAAAGGACCAGCAGGAGAAAACATGACACTGTTACATTAGACCAAAGATTTTCATGCTGGTCAGGTTGATCTACATGACTGATGATTTTGCGAAAATGATTTATTGTAACTCTGAAGACTGACCGAGTTTCAGAGGGACATGTCACTTCCGCTTCCGCCTAGTCATTAGGCATTGTAAATTTTTCTCT